GCAAGCCTCAGTGTTGCTCCCGTGCCTCGTTCAGCCAGTGAGCGGGAACCGGTCTGTATGTGGGATCCGAACCCTCGGACGGGAGCGCCACCGCGCTTCCCAAGCAGCGCACTATCCAGTGCGCCACCGGGCCGGCCCCTCAAAATGTTTTAATGAAAACATGAAATATCCATACCAAGTATGTTAAATTAAAATGATTATAAATGGTTAAATAGTTCATACAAAATTTATCTATACAACCCATATTCTACTAAAGCATTCAGGGAAAGGTTTCAATAAGCCGACCCAACTCCCTTCTGACTTAGAATCAGATACTTAAAGCTGTTGAGGGACTAAAAGGCACATGTCATAAAAAAGCCATCCACTTGAATAGAAAAGAGTTCTTTTTTTTAATTAGCTTTTTGGAGAGTCTAGAGACAAAGGGCTTCGTATCTGATATTACTGTTACCATGGCTCTGGCATCTTTTAATCCAATTTAAATAACCCAGGAACACTTGCTTTTTGCTCACCATGACACAACTGTCATTTTTTAAAACTTGTCTATGAAAAACAAGCAAAGTTCTTAAACAACAAATTTAATAGGGATTCGACACAGGAGAAACATGAAATTTTAAATGAATCCAAGGGAGATGACAAGCAGATGGGTTTGCTTTAATAAAAAATTGGATTTGCCCAGAGGAAGACCTGTGAATAAGGAATAATGGAAATCATCATTTTCAAACCCTGACATAGCTTTGTCCGCATCTTTCAAAGAGGAGAGAAAAAACTGTTCACATTGTTCATTTCCATGAAAGTCTTCATTTACACAGACCTATTTACTGGTCCCATTTTGAAAGGCAAAATGATTTCAGTTTCAGAAAAAACTAAAGGAAATTTAGTAGCGTCAAAATGAATCAATTATAATGCAAGCAACTGGATTATTAATGAAACACAGAATTCTAGGAAGCAAACTAATAGAAACTGTAAAACCAGGTATGCACAATTCCAATTTAGATAAAAATCCTGACTCATGAGACCCAAAGTGCTCAATTATTATGTGTTCCCTGCATCCCTTGGGGGCAAGAGTGTAAGATGACTATCACATAAGAGCATCAGAATGAATAAATGAATGCAGTTTTGAACCTATTGTATTTAAGGTATACTTGTGGAATATCTAGGGGGAAATATCAGGCATGCAGTAAAATATATGGTTCTGGGATTCAGAAATATGTTCTGACCTAAAGATAGGAGTTTCAGAAATCATCATCGCAAGCAATAACTAAATCCTTAAATGGTGGGGGGGGTGGGGGTTCACTTAAGGATGGGGGCACAGGCTCAGGGATATCAGATGAGACCAACAGATGGGACTTTGTGCTTGGTGGAGCATCAATAGTGGAAAAACAAATGGAGGAAAAGGATCCAGAGAAAATCCAGAGGGGTGGAATTTGAAGGACAGAGTCCTTAATAGTTAATACTACAAACAGCTTAAATAAGCTAGGAATTGCAGAGCCTCCATTGGAGTTTTCAATTAAGAACACCATTGGTGATCTTAGATCAGTACCAGAGAAGTACCAGGAACAGAAGCCAAACTCAGCTCACCAATGAACAAGGACAGGAACCAGGGAAAGTGAATCCGTAAGCCAGCCAAGCTCAGCATCATCTGGGGAACATTTCTTAAAACAGAGATTCTTTGGTTCAGGTGCCTACTAAACAGTCAGTCCACAGACTAACAATTGGAAACCAAATGAGGCAGAGAAGGCTTTCAAGAAGCTGAACCATGATGCCTGGGACAGAGGAGTTGAAAGCAAACAATAGAGAAAATTCGTCTTTAAGATAAGAGACCTTCCTTGTACCTGCCAACCCCCCCCCTCAAAGAAAAAGAAAAAAGGAAAAAATGAGAGACTTGAGTGTGACTATATCCTGAGAGAGAAAAACAAAAATAAAAACAAAGTGACAGGAGAAAAGGGGGCCTAACTGATGGAGCAGCAAGGTCCCTGAGAAAGGGGAGGGAAGAAGAGATGGTGCACATGGGTGGAAGAAACCATCCCAGCAACAAGGAAAGGCACCTTCTTGTTCCTCCTGAGATGTGTGGAGGGTTAGAAATCTTGATTCTCATTTAATTTTAGAATAGGGTTTTTAGGTAAATGCATATATGGGGCAAAAGCCCTCTGGTAGGAGGCGATGTCCTACAGCCAGCAGGCTACCGCCCATCTAATCAACTCTAATCACTGATTAGGTATGGGATTGTATACTTTAATGATTTTAGAGCTAACAGGTGGTTGTCATACCAATCCTGTTAAGAGATTTTAAGAATTGCAGAAGGGAAAGATGTGAAAAAAATGTTTGCTAGGGGCAAGCTGTCTGTTGGGGGAAACTTTGGAAATAATTGTATTTAGATTTTATCATAAGAATGTAACTTTTGCTTAAGGAGAGGTTATACTTTAGATAATGATGGGGATAGTAGAAATGAAATAATTAAATCTATCCATTTCATGTGTAAAATAAGAATCTTCTCTATGCCTTCCTCACAAGAGGTTGATACTAATACAGTCAAATGAGATAGTGTGAAAGCATTTCTACATTCATGATTAGGTTAGGGCACCTTTATTGAGTGCTAGGCATTGTACTAAGGACTTTGCATATGTTGTATCTTTTAGTCCTAGCAGTCCCATCATTATATTAATATTATACTCATTTTACAAACAAGGAAAGCAAAGCAGGAGGTAACAGCCTACATTCTTAGTATCATATCTGCAATTCAGAGATATTAACATTCCAACATTACAGGATTAAAGAGATACTATTGCATTTCAACAACCAAAGGTTTAGTGCCCCCATCAATTCATTCACAAAAAAGTGCATGATGTAGAAACCATATTTCTTGGAAACACTGGTGTTCCTTGAAAGTATTCAGAAATAAAAATGTTCCCCAGTTTATATAAACAATATTGGAAGAATTGCCTCAATGTTGAGTTTTACTGCTAAGATTGTTTTTAAAACTGCTAGTCCTTGCTACTACTTTCTTCCCAGAAACAAGAAAGCAATGAGTGTAATTTCTTAAAAATATGGGTATGTATGCATCTCTATCTAATATGCATAACTTATTCTCTACTGGATAGTTTCTACTTCACTTTATACATTAAAAACTAATGATGCTTCTCAGTGTCTGCATAATGCACCATAACTTCCATTGCTCCAAATGACTCTGGGCAGCCATGGTTTAGTTGAGAGAGCAAGGAAAGGCACTGGATACCATTCAGATCTCTTAGCTGGTTTCCTGCATTTTCTGAGGTTATGATGCCCCAAGAGGTTGGGAGAATCAAATGGAAGTATGTGGAAGCTATGAGATAGCACTGTGTAATATTATTTCAAACATATGTAGATCGAAGGCAGAATAATATGAATCTAGGAGGTAGGGAAGGTCTTTGACGTGGAGTTGGAAGATTTTCATATATATATATTTTTTAAAAGATGACCGGTAAGGGGATCTTAACCCTTGACTTGGTGTTGTCAGCACCACGCTCAGCCAGTGAGCAAACTGGCCATCCCTATATGGGATCCGAACCCGTGGCCTTGGCGTTATCAGCACCGCACTCTCCCAAGTGAGCCACAGGCCGGCCCGGAAGATTTTCATATTTTAGGTCTGTGAGTATTATGAAAGTCTGGAAAAATAAAATTAGTACTTAATTCATCCATGTGATTAGGAGAAAAAAGATATGGTGGAGGTTGACTTCCACAACACTAAATTTGGGTGAAAGGCATGGTGAGGAGTTCTGAAAAACTGGTGTCCTTATGCTGAGAGAGCCAGTGGCAAAGAAAGTACATGCAACAGATTCTATGGCTTTTTTTTTCCCCCAACAACTTTCTTTTATTCCAATGCACTAATATTTTAGAGACGTTGTCTCTGCTTTACAGATTTCTAGGAAGAGAAATTAATATTTCATTATAAAACCACATGAGAATTATTAGTTTCCTATGTCTGCTGTAACACATTATTGCAAACTTAGTGGCTTAAAACAAGTTCTAGAGGCCAGAAGTCCAAATGGGTCTCACTGGACTAAAATCAAGATGTCAGCAGGGCTGCGTTTTTTGCTGCAGCCTCCAGGGAAAAGTCCATTTCTTTGCCTTTTCCAGCTTCTACAGGCCTCATATTTTTTTTGGCTAATGGCCCTTCCTCCATCCTCAAAGCCACTAACAGCTGCATCTTCCTCTTGCTGTCTTTTCCTCCATCTTCTGCCTCCTCCTTTCAATCTGATGGACCTTGTGATTACATTGAGCTCATCTGGATATTGTGGGCTACTCTTCTCTATTTTAAGGTCAGTTGATTTAAGTCACAGTTAATTCCACCTGTGAACTTGATTCCTTTTGCCATATTTCTAGCTTCCAGGGATTAGAATGTGGACATCTTGAGGGGTTCGGAGGGGGTGTGGGCATTATCTGCCTACCACATGGATTATAATCTATTTTTTAACCAAGAAGTACCAAACACACAATATGCCAGATATGTCCCCAAATCTTTGCCCTCCTCAGCCCTCTGAGGCTGGGTTTGGAATGTGGGTGGTAGGGGAGAATAAAAGAATAGTTCTCATTTGGTGCTAAGCAGTGGTGTGCTGGTAAACATTAACAACCAGCTCTAGCAGGAAGGAAAGGGGAGGTTGACTTATAACATTTATTGATTTCTGTGGTGTAAATATTCCAAGCACAGTCAGATTCAAGCTACCAGCATAAAATCAAGTAGCTTATAAAAATCCTGAAAATTTAGCAATCCATTCTCACAAGTCAGTACAAGGAGGCTCCAGAACACCACTGAAAGTATGCAAGTATATGCCATGGACATATTCTAGCCTGGCGAATGCAAGTTTGAGTGAATCATCCCAGTGCCCAATCCAAACTTCCCCTTCACCAACAGGATTAACTCTTCCTGGACCCTACTGACTGGCTGCTTTTTATTCTCTCCTGTTTATTAAGGATCAAGGATCAAAGAATACCCACAACTGTTGGCAGGGAATCCAACTTACTATCCCCTCACTCACACACAGATGGTGGCCAATCAGAATGAGACCCAGTGTCCTCTGGTGACTCCTGGGAGGGGGAAAACTGAAGGTTGGGGGATGGAGGAAGGTCAAGGCCAGAGACTGAGCTAGAGGCTCTTGGGTGGCTATAGGCTGCTTGGATTCTACTTGGCTGAGAGTTCCTGGGCAGCGGCCATCTGCCTGGAGAGGATGGCTGTATTTTGCAGGCTGGTGTCCACGTGTGTGTTGGCTATGCATTTAAAAAAATAAGTGCTCCATAAGCATGGCCATTATCACTTCCCTTGGCCATTTTCACAATGGCAATGTGAAATATGTCCATTCTAGATGGCTAATATCCATTTTTCTTTTATCTAACACAAGCTATTAAATAGGCTCACATTTAGTATGAAAAGACACAGATTCATATATAGCAGGAAGGACGAGGGTCACAGTGGCAGTGCAGGCCAATCAGATAGAGAAATCAAGTCCGTGGAAGGACCAGAGTGGGTTGCTCCTTCTTTTGTAAGGTCATTTAAATCAATGTTCCCCCAACTTTTATGTGCACAGAAATCACCTGGGAAGCTTGTTAAAATGCATATTCTGATTCAGTAGGCCTAAGGTTGGGCGAAAGATTCTGCATTTCCACCAATCTCCTAGATGATGCTAATGCTGCTCATTCAAGGGCCACATTTCCATCTTTCACTTTCTGGCAAATTTATGCCAATAATCATTACAGTTATCATATTAGAAAAGCCAACTCAATTAAGATTTCTTTATTTAATGATTGCTATGTCTAGTGTTATAGAATAGCTTGGAAAAGGAAAAATACTGCTGTTACTTGATGTTAAAGAAAACAGTTTCAGCTGCTAATATTTATGAATAGTATATGTTATTGATCCATGAAGAAATGAGCTATAAATATCCCACAAGCCATCCAATTGTGGGCATTAAATGACAACTAATAAATGACTTTTAGGATAAGAGGTAGCAACACAATAATTCTTCAGGGTCTGCAAGCCTCTTAATTCAGTTCCTGGTGATGATTTGATGATTTTCTTTGTTCCACATGAAATGTGGACAGACTATGCCCTGCAAAGGGAACACCTCCCCTGCAATCACAAGACCTAAGTGAGAACCTTCCTTGGAAGGAGAAAATGGGAGGAAAATAGAAAGAAACGAATGAAGAGAAGAGTGGGGAATAGAGAAGTGCAAAAAGAAAAAAGAGGCAGGTAAATTTGAAAAGTGATTGCAATAAAAATCTTTACAATGATGATGTAATAGCTGATCAATTGGAAATGGATTGCAGACTCAAATTTTGTAAACAACGTTCCTATAGGAGAAGTGCAAAAAGAAAAAAGAGGCAGGTAAATTTGAAAAGTGATTGCAATAAAAATCTTTACAATGATGGTGTAATAGCTGATCAATTGGAAATGGATTGCAGACTCAAATTTTGTAAACAACGTTCCTATACTCTTTTGATACTTCCAACATTTTATTACTCATTGTCCCTTAGTGCAAGCCCAGTCTTATCTCCACCCCCAGAGCCCACATCTCTATAGCAACAGGATGCTCTTGGACTTGGGAGACAAAGAGGTGGTGCCTACACACTCATTTTGCAGAAATAGTTCAGAGAAGGCTGGGGCCTGATCAAGGTCACACAGCACAACAAAAACCTTCCAAGAAAGACTAGTCTGCTCCCAGCCTAGAAAAGAGCTCCTTAGGAGCTCATATTCCTTCATGCATTTTATAAGCCATAAGCTTTTGGCTTTATTAACTATAACTAGTAAAGATATCTATTGTTTGGTAACCAGGTTTAAATTTTGGCCAATATTTAATCTTTAAAAGGAAAAAGGAAGAAAGGGAGGGAGAAAAATACGGAGAGCAGGAAAAGGAATTCTATTTTTTTGGCTTATACCTGCAGCAGGTGTTATACACTGTGGTCTATATTGTGAGTCCATCCCCTGCCCACAAACCTCCCACACTTAAAACCTGCCACAGCTTAGGACTCTGTGGAGAATGGGAGTAAGAGAAAGGGGGCAGGGCAGAACAACTCTACACTCTTCCTCATGCCTTAGCAGATAAGCATTTAAGAAATTTCCCCCCCCAAGCCCCAGAAAGAGTATCAAAACTAAAACACCACTGTGAGGTTTAGAATAGATCATATCCCTAATAGTGTAATGCAAACTCGGGTTTTCTCTTTTATCAGTAAGAGAGGCATGTGTGGAAATAAGTATGGCAGTGTTTGCTGCTGTTACCAGCTGTTTTGTCTTCTGGCCAAATATACAGTTACTGTTTTGATCACCCACCCCAAAGGTGAGACTGTGTGATGACTAAGAACCTAGCTCTGGAGCTAGACTGCCTGGAGATAAATCAGTTCTTCTAATTACTGGCTGTGGGCCCTTGGGCGAGTTATCCGCCCTCTCTATAGTCAGTTTC